CAACATATGCCGCGTACCAACCACTAAAGACCGAGAAAAAACAAATAGAAAAAAAAATACTAAACATTTCGACCGAATCTATAACCCGGTGGAGGCTCAAATACCAGAACAAACGGCACATTATTTTAATCCGACCGCTCTAGGCGACCTTTCAGGAAATCATTTTTATTATATCGAATTCCAACCACGAACCAAACAGTAGGAAAAGAAATCTATTCAAAGGAGCCTTTTTTTGGGACAAGGATTCGGGTTCAATCGCGGTCGGGTTTAGATTTTTTACTAGAATTGTGTTATTGTTATTAAATTCGTAAGCTTCAATCACGAACTGATTTAGATTTCTTACTTGTATTATGTTATCTATATAAATAAAAATGAATTTCCGTTCGTTAGTCTCGCTAAAACTCGAGAACGGCTGAACCGATATATCAAATTTTAGTCTTGAAATTTTCGTGGAAGTCCTGGGAAGGTTCAAACGATGAGAAAATATAAAAAATTGCGAGTATAATACTAAAAACGACAATTTGATTTTCCCATAGAAACTGTTCTTAGCTGTCAAACGTTCAGTTGATGATCAATATTTATGGTCGTGTATTGGTCAGTTTACGCAATATTTTTCAATATTAATATGGATTTTATTAAGAAGTAAGTGATCCGAAGTTCACCGGGTCAGCTAGTTATTAATAAATTCGGAAGTTTATAGTCTGAAACAAGAACTGAATTTGAGACTCGTCAATTTACTTTATAGAATTATCTCTCACGACAAGCGACAGCTCACAATGACAAATTTAAAATGTCATAAGCACATTATGATTTATATGATAGACAACATTAATCTTTAGAAATAAGACAAACCAAAGCTTGGAATCATCATCATCATTAGCCCTTATACGTCCCCACTACAGGGGCTCAGGACTTCCTCATGGATGGTTAAGGTGGATGGGCCATGACTCTCCACGCTGGCCCAATGCGGATTGGAGGGTATTTACGACTGCAAATGCAGCCGGAACCAATGGCTTAACGTGCCCTCCGAAGCACGAAGTAGCTCGAGATAATATTTTTTTGGTCACCCATCCCGTGATCGACTCTTGCGAAAGTTGCTTGATGACAACGATCGCGGGCCGCGGCGCTTATCCTCTACGCCACCGAGCTACTTTAAGCTTGGAATAACATTTTCAAATTAAAGTAGCAACTGTGGTTAAAAACATTGTAAATTAAAAATATATATAATAACTTAAAAGCAATTTGACTGACATACAATTTAGAGGCCCGGATATCAAACGGAATATATAGTTTCTGTTTGTTTTGTTTACACATTTAATTTCACGTGCACAGACACGTAAAGGAAATGTTGCAATTTCCATCAACTTCAGTGATAGATAAATACTGCGCGGTCTAATAAAGCTTTAGAGAAATGAAATTTAATGGCTGGAGAGCAAAAACAACACCAAAAAAGAATGTATAGACTGTGTGAGGAATGATATAAAATTAAAAAGAATGAACGATAACAACTGAGAGAGAAGGAAAGGAGAAAAAGACTCATTATGTATAGTTTTGAAGATGGTAGTTTTAAATGCGATAACCTGATATGAAATTTCCTAAATATCATAATTTTAATCTTATATCCTACGTTTCTTATATTTTTACAAGGGATTCCTCGCAGGATAAGCAGAGAACAGAGGGCTTTTACAAAAGTTTTTAGCTTCCCTTGCATTCTATTATCTCACGTTATAATTTCAATATCTATTTTTCCGTCTTTAGGCTTTGGACTAGCATTAATTATTTGCAAATGTGAAAGATTAAGTGACAATTTATTCTCTCTAATTTATAAAAATGACCTCAATATTTTTTCGAATCGTTCTTATATACAATATTTTTCAATATATAAGAACAATATATATGTGCATCGGAAACAGTGTAAGGGTCCTACCTCCATTTTTGATGTAAATATTGTCATCCAGCTAAGATCATATTTGATTGGCAAATTTTGACAAATAAAATAATGAATGAATTGTTCATTCATTCATTATTTTATTTGTCAAAATTTGATACATAATATTAGATCAGAGCATTCAATTATTTCATCAAAAATGTTAATTTAATCAATTATATAAATTACTAAATGCAAGTGCCTGGCGAAGGGGAAATGATCTGTAAAAGCAGTAGTGACTACCTATAGTATAGGTAGTCACTACTGCTTTTACAATATTTTCTCAATACTCATAAAGAGTAGTATAGGTCCTATACTACTCTTTATGAGTATTGAGAAAATATTGTACTTCCCACTTCGCCTGCTTTCGACCTATCGTGAAGGAACAGCTTCCCTGGAGAAATCAGACGATTGTCAACGGCCGTTTGTAGCAAGGCAAGCCAGCTCTTGGAACCATTTATGACTTTTACTCTTATACATTACGCACGATAAAAATAAGGTGCCTAGTACAGGTATATTGTTTTTCTTCGTGCTATAAACAAGTTTAGAAATAATTATAGTCACCTATGTCTTTAATGTTGTAATACACTATCATTAAACTACAACTTCTTTTTTTAATGGCTTATCAGCGAGATTTGCAGTAGTCATGAAATTAATTTCTCTCATGTAAAATGAAATGACGAAAATTGTAACTTCTAGTCCCATATAGAGGTTCTCAAATAGTGCTAATAGGATGGTACTGTAGACTGTATCTGATTTGCATTACCTAATGCTAATGGTTTACGAATAATTAATTTGAGATAATTACTCGTAAATCATTTTTTCAGCATTATTTATGATTTCGTCTCATTTGCTCTTTGCCTTTATCGACCAGTCTTTGATACTGAAATTACACAAGAAACATGCGAAGTGCAAATATAACAGCAAATTAAGTAACACTGCACATGAAATTTATTGACACTGCACATGAAGCATGCGAAGAGCAAATATAACAGTTAATTAACTGACACTGCACGAGAAACACAGGAGTGTAAATAAAACAGTGTATTTACTGACACTGCACATGAAACATGCGAAGTGCAAATATAACAGTGCATTTAGTGAAACTGCACATTATTAATTTTTCCACAATAACGTAATCGATACTCGCGCTTTAAATTGATTTGTAACAACCTAAGACAATATTCAGTATTAGGAAATTGGAAGAGACGATCAATATAATATTTCTCGCAATTCTAAATTTAATTAATTTAAATAACATATAATTGCTATAAGCAATGGATATAATCTATTAAAGTATAATATATAGCTATTAGTATCACATAAATCAATGCACACAGATATATTTCATCTTTTATAATTATACTATGGTAGCTTGTATGTTAATGTCAATATTTTTTTTCTATCTTCATAAACAAATACGAGGGTCAAACTGAAAGTTCTTAGAAAATCAAAAACTGATTACATTAGCCAGTTATTAGTTTTATTATATCTTTTCAAAATATTGTCCATTCACGTCAATACACCGCTGCATGCGATGGAACCACTGGGAAAAGCACTTTGCCCACTCGTCCTTAGGGGTCTCTTCAATGGCATCGCGATACGCAGCCACCGCTTCTTCAGCATTCATAAACCGCTTTCCTTTAAATTTTTCTTTAATTTTTGGAAATAAATAAAAATCACAAGGCGCGAGGTCGGGGCTATACGGCGGGTGACCCAGTAATTCAACGTTTGATGTCGCCAAATAGTCGATCGTTCGCTTGGCGGTGTGCGACGAGGCGTTGTCGTGGTGAAGGAGGATCCTACTGCGAGGTCGTTTCTCTCGAACTTTTTCCAAGACAAGTGGCAAACAATTGGTAGTGTACCATTCTGCAGAAACTGTTTTTTGATCCTCTAACACAATTGTTGCAAAATGACCTATCCTTCCAAAGAACGAGGCCACCATTTTTTTCCCGCACTTCGATCTCTCTTCACTTTAGTTGGCAACTCCTCGAAAGGAAACACCCACTGAGCAGATTGTCTTTTGGTTTTAGGATCATAACAGTAAATCCAGCTTTCGTCACCTGTTAGTATGTCGAACACAGCATTTGAGTCACCTCCGTTAAATCTTTCAATCATTTTACGACACCAATCCACACGATGGAGTTTTTGAGCCTCAGTCAAATTATGAGGTATCCACCGGGCGCAAAGCTTCCTGACCGCTAAATGTTCGTGGAGGATTTTGTGCACTTGACTCATACCGATGCCTAAGCTTGTCCGAATCTGTTGATAGGTCACTCTTTTGTCAGTCTCTATCATACGCCGCACAACACAGATGTTATCTTCAGTCGTCGCCGTAGAAGGCCGTCCCTCACGTAAATCATCAGTGAGATTAGTGCGACCACGTTTAAACTCATTAAACCAGTTGTAAACAGTCGCACGAGATGGGGCTTCATCGTGAAAGGCCAATCGTAGTCTATCATAACTTTCTTGTTGACTTAAATGACATCGAAAGTCATAAAAAATCATTGCACGAAAATTTTCTCGTGTTAAATTCATGATGACGTGACACAGACAATTTTCAATTTGCCGCCAAATCGTAAAACAAATGACAAATGAATAAAATATATACACAGTAATATTGGCAAAGAGTTATATTTTCAAATTTTAGAATTATTTTTTTATTATATTGTTTATAAGTGGCCAGTTCTAAGAACTTTCAGTTTGACCCTCGTAGTATCTGGATGACAGGTATTTTTTTAAGTAAATGAAACCTACGAGTAGCTTGTTCGAATTCTCGTCCCCGAAACCCTCTGTTTACGAAATTTCATTAAAATCGTTGAAGCCATTTCCGAGATTCACATTATACATATTAGGTATATATAATACAGGGCAGGAGTCCCGGTGAGTCGGCGAGGGCTTCCTGGGTCACATCCCCCATATGAGGGTATACTGTAGTGTTTATGTTAGGTCAATGAACCCACAGAGGTTTTGTGAGTTCATTGAGCGAATACTCGCTAAATGGACCCACAGAAGGGAGCCCTACATAACTTCGTCACTTGCCAGGAGGTGGGATATATTTTAAGCATTTTCCCTACACTAAAAAAATGTATAATACCTGCTGGGCGGCGGTGTCGAAGTTGGCAATGAGTGCGGCGCTGGACTGCTGCGAGGACCGCCGCCTCGACGACGAGCGCGAGCTCCAATCTGAAACAATATAAATCAAAACATTATCAAAAAATCGTCAAGATAACTCTTAAGTCGAGACCCCCTAGAACGCCAGATTTCAAATATTTTTTAATTTGCTTTTCAGAAAATTAACCGGGTACCCTTCTGAGGAATTCCCCGATAACTAGTTATCTTCACCAACTTATGAGGGTCCCAACTAAAGTGACACATGTGTATCTTATGGAAAAATACAGAGGAAAAGGACCGTAACCCACCACGCGGGCACCGCAGATGGATGATTACAATTGTAGATCTACAGATCAATGGCTTAAGGTGCTGAAACTTAGATAATCAAGAAAAAGTTATTTCGATCACCTTTCTGATAACTGGCTAATACAACACTGTGAGACTGTTCCTGTGTAACGTGTGACTGTGTGTGACTGTGTAACGCTGTGCCGTACCACTGTTTATTTCGTCCTAGGTTTCAGCATGCAAACTTTTGTCTTCGATATGCAACACCATTTCTTTTTATTATTCATCTATCGTAATTTGAAATTTTGACTAATCAAATATGCTCTTTATGGATGTCATTTTCGTAAAAAAATCATCTGGTGTGAACATATTATAGTAATTGTATAAATCTAAATATAAAATTTTATAATAATGAAGTTATTATAATTAAAATAGAAATTGTTAATCTACAAGAATATCTTGAAATTTCGTCCATTTTTTTATATTACAGGAAACCCAAAAGGGGTATGTATGTATTTGACCTGTTTAGCAATTGTAATTTTATATTTAGGTAAACATACGAACTGTTTTTATATTAATTTTTTGTTTGTTAGATTTTTCTTTATTACCAAATAAATAAAATCGATTCTCAAGCTTAGTCAGCCTTTTCATTAATTCGCTCAAGCATCGAACCCGTCTAAGACTAACTACCGGTCCCAACGTTTATTGAGCCCCTGTCGCCGGCCACACCCCCGTAATATCCGTTTAGTTGCGCGACGTAGCGTCACATAGGCCGTGTGGACTGATGACAACTTATCAGTTTAGACAGCAACTGAGTCAACGCATTAGGGCATCCCGACAAATGCATGAAATAAATCAAGACCCTTTTCTAAAACATACTAACTTTCGTGGCTGAGCTCGCCGGTTTCAAGGTGTCGCTGTCTCAGAGGTCTCGGGTTCTATTCCCAGTCAAGTAGTTTCTTGGAATTTAAACTTTTTCTGTGAGGATGATTTATATCATAAATGACTGAAATAAATCATCTAATATATAAAATTATCTTGTCACAGCTTTAATTAACACACTCCCCCGAAACTTTATATTTACATTTAATCGGTCTGAGAAGGTTGTTATCCATGTTTTATATCTCTAAGTGTTAAGGGTGGTCCACCTCAAATTTAAATTGAAAAATAACGTTTGCCGAGTCAGGTAGTTTAATTATGTCTTTAAATATGAATTCAAGGAAATCATTTATAAAAGAGATAATGTAGTTGGTTTGAAATAGCTATTATGAGATGTAATTCTAATTCAGGTGAATTCAATGAGGGAAATGATATTACAAAAATAAAATAAAACTAAATGCGCACCTATTATTAATTACACATCAAAATGTTCAATTTGACGCACGTTTAGTAATTCTGTTGGTTGGTTGTTTGATATTTTTGTAACGGCATTAAAAAAATATAATTTAAAACTATTGAATCTATATCTAGGATCACATATCGTAATTATAAAATTTAATCTAAGTATATGTGTGTATGCATTTTTATGTGTATGTATAGTATATCGGCATTTCACTTCTCCACCAATGTGAAATGTGAAGCCCTACAAATGTTATTTATATCCTCACCGGTCGACTGGTAAAGAATTTGGCATCAACTTTTTCCATTTACTGGATTTGGCAATAACGAATAAATAATTAAATCATTTATACTGGATTGCATTTGACCATCTCTGTCAGTATAAAGGAAAAATGGATATTCAAAAGTATGTATAGAAAAGCGGGGTCACGCAAGTACAGCCAGTAAAAGGATTAAGTACTTGTTAACCATTCTGAGCTGCTTTCCATAGGTTTCAAGCGATACATTATAATGTAATTGTTATTTTTTTACTAGGATACTAGATCATATACAACAGCACAGAACAAAATATAATACAAAATTAGACCTAACTGTTCCGTATTATTCATTAGCTGTAATATTACAAATTAGCACAAAGCATTCGTCTTAATTTATTATCATTTTGTTTCTATAATGCAATGCTTAGGCTCACAAGCCCTAAACAAAACGTATGTCTTTACGTTGTAAGTGCTGCCACCTATATACACAGAAAGAAGTTCTCCGATCGCCGCTCGCACAGCTGGCATATTATAAAATTTAATAATAATCCGTTTCATAAAACCTAGCTAAATTCACGACGAGTGTTTGTTGATGAAAGCTTCCAGCGACCTAATTATTGAAGCATCTACTTACTGGAGCCCCATATCAAGATACAAGAAAAGCGGTGTACTTGGTAAGTGAACTGATCGCATTGCTTAACTAACTTTCTTACACACTAACATTAATTGAAATGAGAAGCTCGGTGGCGTAGTGGATAAAATTTTATATGTAATATAAATATTGAAATCATCGATAGCTGAAATAGGGAAACCTGAAGTAATACGAGGAAGACAACCAGAAAGAAAAGTATTAAGAACATATAGAAAAGCTATAGGTATAAATCTATGATTAACAGAAATTCAAAAATATAAATCTATATCAAAAAAAATTTATAAAATCTACAAAGAGATATAAAACAAATTCACATAGAAATTCCTCCTTTCGGATTTTGAATGAATGCAAAATGCGCCATCTTTTGTTTTTACGCTGATATAAACTTGGCATCAATATATTTTGGTGATATCTGATGAAAAGCATATTTCGTTTTGTTATAAAAGAAAACTAATTAATAAATTTCGATAAAATTTAAATAGGACAACCTGGGCCTATGGAACCTGTCAAAATAAAAAGAATTTAAAAAATGGATTCATAATTGGCGAAGTAATCACGTAACAAACCACAATACATTAAATCGAATTGAGAACCTCCTCTTGTTTTGAAATCATTTAAAAATAATAAATATTGTTTGGGAGAAAAGTATTTTCGCACATATAAGTAGCGTAAATTGCTAATGCGCTGGAACCTTGTCTAAATAACACCCACGTCATTTGAGAGTAGTATAGATAGCAAAAAAATCAAGAGCTAAATTATTAATTAAATATTGAAATATTTATGAATATGCCCCAAAATATTGTTATAATAATTTAATATTATATTTGATCAAGTTTGCATTAACAATACTATACTGAAAAATATTCTTTATGAAAAATGCTTAATCTGAGGGTGCCAGGAACCAAGTAGATTTTTAGTTTATTAATTTATTATTGCTTGAATTTTGAGAAAAGGTCAATTTATATGTTAATATTTAGGTATTATCAATCTTTATGTTATATGTAAAATAAAATAAAAATTATGACATTGATTTTGTAATAACACGGTAACAAATGGAAAAGACAATTTTTTTAAACAACCATAAGTAATAATGAAATGCGAGACACAAGATATATTTATCTATAGTGAAAATTAGGTTTACTTCTTGTAAAAATCATAATAGCAGTTATTTTAATCAAACATAACAACGACAAAAAACTTAAGAATATCAATTGAAAACAACAAAATTGTGTATGATCTTAACACAACCCGATTCACAAAGTGTACTCGTCAACCAGTGTTTATTTGTTAACGGTACTGATTATTGAACACATTTACGTCACCAAAATGGCGGCCAGGAACATTATCAATTCGCGGGGATTATAATAATAATAATAATAATAATAATAATAAATCGTTTATTTCAGAAAACCAGGTCCCATATTGTTGTTATTATTATTATAGTGTGCATAAACTTGTAATGAAATCTTTCTGGCTATATCATTTAAATCTGGCTGGTTTAGGTACCATTAAAAAGTATATTTTAAAGAAGATAACTCACATTAGGAAAATATGTGATTTTCATTTGTTTTTCTTACGTCTAAATGAGTGAATCTCATGAAGAAATTCGACACATTTTAAAATTTTATTACAAAATGGTTATAGTGCAACGCGAGCTGCGAGAAATATTTGTGACGTTTATAGACCTAGAGCAGTTTCTGTGAAATTTTGATGACAAAGAAGCACGTTGCTTCGTACACCTTGTCACGTGATAAAATGGACAAGAACAAGCGAAAAAAAGTCGTGGTTAAAGGTCGGTCAGGCTTCATAGACTGTGGCGAAACTTGGGTTAATACGCAAGAAGGTGATATTGCGTGTATGGTGGGATTGGGAGGGCATTATTCTTAATAAGCTGTTAGCGCCAGGCAGAACTATCGATTCAGAACTCTACTACGAACAACTGATGTGATGAGATGAGCTGAAACGGTCAGAATTTATCAATAGAAGGAGTGTGGTTTCTCATCATGATAACGCAAGACCTCACACATCTTTTGACACTTATTTTATAATAATTTATGCAAAAATTAAGAGAGTATAGCTGGGAGGTGTTAATGCATCCGCCGTATAGTCCTGAACTTGCACTTTCGGATTTCCACCTGTTTTGTAATCTTCAGAATCTTTAGCCAGTATCAGGTTAACATCACGCGAGGACTTTCAAAACCACTTGTCGCGGTTTTTTGATTAGAAGCCCCAAAATTTCTATAGCAATGGGATCACGTCCGTAGGAAGCTGTAGGTAGCTACAAGATGACAAAAAGTTATCGAACAAAATGGTACTTACATACTTTAGTTAAATGTAAATAAACTTTATTAAAAAATGTTTTGATTTTTCATTTTAAATGCGAAGAAACTTTTTCCGCAACCTATCATACATTACCACCTACCACTATTGATTTGTGAACAAGATATTTCTTTAATAATTTTTGACTTCAGGGAGATAGTACAAAGGCAAAATGCAAGTATTTGAGACATCACTTAGATGGGAGTTTTATGTAAAAAAAT